TATGCAGACGTCAGAGCAAAAGCGTATTGGAATGGAAAGACCGCTATACCAAATATTGTAAAGCTTATAGAGAGGTCCTTCAGGAGAGCTTCTCAGGTTGTGGCTCCACCACACTGCCGCCTGCACACGACTGCCACAAAGGCGGCAGTTACCATAAGATTTGCCAGAAGGGAAGGGTTTCTACGAGGGTTGCTATAGGGTCTGCTACAACGGGCACCAACAGCGGCACCTGTGGAGTTCAGAGTTTCGGGTTTGGCGCAGCACGCGGCTGATGGGCAAGCAGAATAACCCTCAAAGCCATAAATCCTAGGCCCTAAACTCTGAGTTCTCCCGATCATCGAGGTTGAAGAGATCAACAAGCGGATGAAATCGAGACATCTTAACAGCCTTAGCCATCAGCGCAAATAAATACAAGGCAACATTCTTCCCTTAGAGTCTCAAAAAAAGTATGGAGAATAGAAGGCCACCCTACCTCTAGCCTGGGAACGAACGTTTCGGATCGTCCAGGCGCCATCGGCGAGTGGGCAGAAGAGAAGCAAGCCTGGCAACTCGCCTTTGGCGTTATACTGTATTGTTTTGATTTATTTCTTAGCATTCCATATAAAAGCCTGGCAGCTCGGCTGTGGCGAAGGTCTAAACATGGGGGTTTATGGTTTAGGGCCAGCGGAAATCACTTGTTTTTGTTGGCCCCTATCCCGCACCTGAGGCTTTACATGTGGGTGCTGTTTTTGAATCCCCCGACTTTTTTTTCCGTGGCATCGGCTTCTTCTTGGGACTGCTTGAGGGGTCGAACCCTGGGTGTAGAATGCTCCACATGTCTGCTTCACAGCTTCGGGAACACGCACAATGTTTTTGTTCAGCTCTGACAAGCTGCTGATTGCACGAGACCGCATAGGGGGTTTCGGAATATTACGGGTAGTACTAGCATGCCAGTGTCGTCCCGACAGTATGGTGAGACTATGATATACCCCAAAGAGTCCATGACCGCTAGAATCATGCGTTAAGGCCGCATGCAAGACACATGAACTTCACAACGCTTCGATGCCCTGTCCTCTCCCAAAATCCTAAACCAAGAAATCCTAATGAAAGCCCGTAGCCCTTAAACCCCCAAACTCTGAACGGAAAGGAAAGCCCACGAAACAGAGGTGCTGCTCTCGAATGAACATTGGCTGCCTTGACCATGCCTTCGATTGCGATGCCGGCCTAGCCGACTGGCACCGGGGGTGGTCACAGGCGGGCTCGTACTAGTAATATAGGGGCCTTAGTAATTGGACTCGGGTTTTGGGGCCCATTATGCTATAACTTTAATAAGTCTCCCCCAAAGTTGTTTTGGTAATTATTCAGGCCTTTATAGCACTCGGGCCCACAAGCACATCGACTGTAGACTCCTGGCTTTGAAGCCTGCATAGCGCCGTGAAAAAGTTATGCCTAATAGGCATGCATAGGTTTCCGGTTGAAGGTAAAGGGGTGTATTTACAGGGTCTGTCGGAACCCTAAGCCTAAGAGGACGCACTAACCAGTGGGCATCCTGCATGCTGAAACAGAAGCCGCAGAAACACTCAGTGAGAAGCTGCACCTGGGACAGGCCAAGAAGAGCCTTAAGCCCTGCACTCTGAACCGCCCGAAAAAAAAGAACCCTGAGCGATGACGAGTTGAGAGAGTGCAAAGCTCAGGAGAAAGAGGCCCTTAAAAGCAAAGCCTATCTGGGAGTTTCCGAAAATTAGGGGTGCCTTATTTTTTGGCCCTACTATTTAGGGTACTACATTAGGGTCCCCTATTTCGGAAACTCCCATCTGCACAGGCCAAAAAGAACTGGTGTTGCCTCCACTCCGATCATGGCTGTGAGTGAGCCGACATGGCAGCATCTCGTGAGCTTCAAGGGCTTTTGCAGGATTTAGGACCATGTCAAGGAATCTTCAGTACCCTAGGGGCCTTAATAATTAGAGTATGGTTTGCTGGGGCCCATTATACTACAACTAGAATAAGGAACCCCCGCAGTAGTGTGGGTAATTATTCAGGCCCCGACATTAGGACCTTTGGCATGGGCTTCGCTACAGTTTAGCTATATCGTTACTGGTTGATACTGTAAGTAAGATATTTAGCAGGCCCAGGATGCATTATGGTGGCTGTGAGACGACCTTCTAAAGGGTGCTTCAACAAAGAGCAAGCAACAGCCCGGCAAGGATGGGGCGTAAAGGCTTCACGTAAAATTGGGGCCGGAATAGGTACCAATACTGCTATGGTGGCTCCTATTATAATTATGGCAGTATAATATACCCCAAAGCACAATTCTGATGATTAAGGCCCCTATAGTATAGTACTCCTGTAGATCCCTTTCAGTAACCCTTACAGACCCCTTTAAAGGAACTCTACTCTGTCGGTTTAGGGTTTCGGGTTTCGGGTTTCGGGTTTGGGGTTTAGAGTTTGGGGTTTAGGGTTTGGGGGTTAGGGGTGGGTTTTAACTAGGGGTTTTAGGACTTGGGGTTCGGGGTTTAGGATTTGGGGTTTAGAGGTTTCGGGGTTTAGGGGTTTACGAGTTTAGGGGTTTAGGGCTTAGCGCCCTGAAAGCAGCAGATATTGAAGTTCCTGAGCCGTGGAGTGCCAGTAGCGATGTTCCGAAGCTGGATGAGGGATGCCGTAGGCACCTCCCGGAATTGATGAGCTAGGTGCCAAAAGCCTTCCAGCATTTCAGAAAACAGTGGAACCCAAGATAGGGCCTCAGACTAGACCAGGATTCTGCTGTCTGTAGGGTTTAGGATCCTGATTCTGATGACCGCTAGCCTAAGTAAGGTACCCTAGTTTTCGTTTCAGAAGACACCTCTCCACCCTTCCACTGCCTGGCTAATGCTAGTACAGTCAACCCACATTCGACCAAAGCTCGAGAAAGCCGGGATAGATAGATAGACGCATCGATAGGAACGACGCACGAAGCCTTGCATTTTGTTTGGCTTTGACACCTTGCTCCTGCATTTCCAGCAATCGTGAAGACTTCAGAAAATGCAAGGGTAAAAGGAGGGACCCTTAATAAGGACCCCTAGGTATATACCCTTAATATAGCTATTATATACCCATTATATAGCCCATGATAGGGTAGGGGTCCCCGTTTGAGGGTCCCTCCTTTTCCCCTTTGAGAAAAGGTCCTGGCGGCCCAAGAGCCTTCCTTCTAGACTTCTGGCCTGAATAAATTAGAATAGGCTGTTGGGGTGGCCCATTATACTATAAGTATAATAGGGAACCCCAAAATAGTATTGGTAGTTGTTTAGGTGGCCTTCAACCATCATAGGAGGCCAAAAGGGGTTTTAGCCTATGGGGGTTTAGTAGGGATTCGGGTTCCCATAATACGATTCATATTAAGGAACCCCTAGCCCAAGAATCTTAAACCCCCCTTCTGGCCTCCCGTCAAACCCACTCAGCCTGAAAGAAGGGCCTCAATGATTAGAGTATAGTTTTTGCGGGGTTTATGATGGTGTACTTATATTAGGGACTACCGCTAGGGCTCTATGGTATGGTAGAGGGAGAAGGCTGGGAACGCTAGCTAGCTATCTGTTGTCTAGCTGTCGCGCCTGCCTTCCTCTCGCCATGCGAGTGAAAAAACGATTGGAAGAAGAATAGGTATTGCCATGATTAAAGAAGTATAACTATAAAACAGGTAAGTCATACCCCAAAGCCCTGTTCCAATAATTAAGGCCCCTAAAGCCTGATAATATGTAGACCCTGGTACAGGCGACGCAGGCCCTGCTAGGCAGCTGTGACGGTCAGTCAAGCGAAGGCGAGTTGGTGGAGAAAAGAGATGCATCTGCTGCCATGACCCGAAGTTTATCCATATCCGGTCAAGCTGGATGTGCACCTGTTTGCGAAGTACAGGTTGCAGGGAACATTGAATGCCATTTACACACTCTCACATTGTGAGGGTTTAGAGTCAGGTTCGACCAGCACAGATACCGGGGTTGGATGGAGTTTTTGTTGGTGGGGGCAATGTGCTGGAAAGCCTCGTTTTACACTGGCATGTCTAGAATTTGGAGTTGGGTTGATCTTCGGTCCTCTCTCTCGGACGGTATCCCGGGCTCATTTTCAGAATTCACATGTGCGGTACATTGCCCACGGCACATGTAAGTTTGTTATGTGCAGCATACATCTACACTACAACGGTTACACACACACACACTCTCTCTCTCTCTCACACATACACACACACACTCTCTCACTCTCACACACACATACTCTCTCTATCCCACACACGCATATTGCGAACATGCATGGGTGTACACATACATACATATATATATATATATATGTATATATATATATATATACACACCTACATATGCGTATCCAACAGCATGCAATAGGTTTTGCTAATACATTGCTCAAGATGGCTTCACTACGATTGTAAGAGGCCAGACGATGATATCGTGAAGCGAACCGAATCTAAAGCAAACCTCACACAGTTCTGTCGCTCTTCTCTCTCTCGCTCTCTATGCAATATTCTCTCTCTCTCTATATATATATGTAGAGTTGTGTACAGAAATAAACAAAGAAATAGAAACATACTTACTGCATAGATAGATGAACAGGTACAGCCATCCATCCATCCATCTATCCATCCATCCATCCATTCATCCACCCATTCATCCATCCATTCGTCCGTCCATGCCTGTCTGCTGGCATCTCTACATGCATCTGTACATGCTTACGTACATACATGCGCGCATGCATACATACTTGCGTGCATACGTACGTGCCGACACACATGACCTGCATGACTTGCAGGGCATCCATGGCATAGGCGCCTTAATAATTACCTGTATTATTTTGGGGGTTTCTAAGTATTGTGGTTATAGTCTAATATATCCCAAAACCCTATTCTACTTATTAAGGCCCCCATATTATAGTACCCTTATAATAACCCTTATAGACCCCTTCAAAGAACCCTTTTGTATAGTACCTGGATCCTAAACCCTAAACCCCATAAACGCTAAAGTCCGTGGGGAGCGCTGCAGGCGAGACGGGCCTTCGGCTTCCTCAGCTTGGCTGAGAAGTTGATCCGCTCAGGAGCTCCGGGGGAAGTGCCGTGTCTTTTTATAATAGTAGCCCTGAAAGATCCCTTGTAGAACCCGCATAATTAGTAGCCATGATAGTATCTTTGGGTGCTACTGGTATTGATTATTGGGGTTTAAGTTGTGTTCTTGTGTTTTTAAAGGGATTTAGCAGTCGGTGTGCTTAGGGCTTCACGAGATCGTAAGGCTCTTGGGCGTAGGGCTTGAGTGGGGTCTTTAGACACCGGTTTTTCCGTGTTTTTGAATGTAGGGAGGGGGGGGGTTCCAGTGAAGTTCCTTTACGGATTTCGGTTAGATTCAGGGCCAGGGCACCGGCTGAGGACAAGAAGGACGGTAGCGAGGACGGAACATGGTCCTCCGGTCCTGAGATGGGTAGACCAAATATCAATCTCGGAGAAGTGTTTCGATTACTACAGGAGCCTGACTCAACAATTACCGATACTATTTTGGCGGTTCCTCATTATAACTTCAGCATAATATCCCACAAAACCCGATTGAAACTGTTAAGGCCCCTATATTATAGATCCCTTGTAGTTACCCTTATATACCCCTTGGAAGGAACCCCCCCTATGTAATTTTGACTAGGCCCGGCTGAGATGATTCTGTCAGTTGCCCCCCGAAGGACTCCTTGGAACACGTATCGAAGTATCCTTGCAAGTCCGCCGAGTGGTTTCTTCAGAGGCGAATTGGGGTATCTTGAGCTTTGGGCCAGGAAACTGCAAATCCTGAAGCCTGCAAAGCCCTGGGTTTAGGTGGATTTGAGGGTTAAGGTCTAGGTGAATATCTCGGACCATAGGATCTTAGGCACTATGATCCTCCGGATGCTGCTAAATTTTGTGGCAGGACGCGACTTGAAAGAAGGCTATGAAACACTCCAGAACCCTGCTTCGGTGTCGGGTTCTTCTCGTCTGAACCCTGGAAGGTAATGGAACACGGACAAAGGAATGTGAAAAGGTGGTGATTGTAGGTTGAGACCACCGGTTTGGTATTTGTGTCCGATTTCAGAATTCATGCAGTGGCATGGGTTCAGGACGATGCCGGCCTGGCAACGGTTCAGCTGAATTGAAGCAGCACTCTGGCGTTGAGGCTGCTGAGGGCATCGGGGGGCCTCGCGCAAAGCGCCTCGCCCACCGTGTTTCACACAGCAGACACCTGGACTTGGCTCATAGCTGTAGTTGTGCCCAAGTGCTTGGGGACGGCCTTGGTGGCTGCATGGGAACTGCTCGAAACCTTCGGCGCATCTGAACCAAAAGCGCATGTTCAACTCTATGACCCATCGTGGATTCGATATTCGCATCAGGGGAAGTTGCCTATGCTTAATTTGATGCTCATTCGGCTCTCGGAAGTCTATTTCTGCACATTTCCAGTACAAGTACGAGGCGCGACTTCTAAACCTTCTGGTAGGGCGGAGCTCGGAGAAGCAGCAGAAGTGTTGGAGCCGTCCTAAGAGTTGTTGACGACATGCGTGGCATTACCTCTTTCCTTTGCTCAAGCCGATCACCGGTTCCAATGCTTTGAGCATGGAAGAGAGCACACCTACACACCCCTTTACCTGAAGGCCCGTCTGTCATCCAACAGTACCAGACGTCAGCCCCACACTGGCCTGCGCAGGCCCAGTAGGTCCCAGGTTCAGGTCAAATTCTTCTGTGCTTCACTTCTTCGATCCGCCGCGCTGCGCGTCTCGGCGCCCTGCAGGCGACGGATCAGTGTCGGTGCTGTCATCAGATCACCTTCTTACTTGTAAGGGCTCTAATAAAGTGACCTTTCGGTTTGAGGGCTCATTAAACTTTCAGAAACCCCCACATCATGACACAACCGAAGCGTCCGGCGCCGAGCCAGGCGTGTGCCATGCTGCGACGACGTGTTGCCAGGGCCGCAGATCGGACGAACGTCAGCGAGCAATCCTTGCTGAATATAAGGTAACAGTATTTATGTTATTGTCATTTTTTAACTATATGGTAAAGTATTGAATTAAATGGGAACGAGTGCTGCAGCCGTGATACGCTACGCAGACGGCTGTGTGGCTTGAGCCTTCATGCCGCCGGTCCTTTGCAGAAGGCTTGTTCGGTCCTTGACGCAACTCCTTGGGTGAACATAGATCCCCGCTGTAGGATGGAACCCTCCTCCCAGACACTGTAAAACCCTATTCCTTTAACCTCAGACGACCCTCTGGAAACCCCTTCAGCATTCAGATGCTGTGCCAGCTACTTCGTGCCAACCTCGCAAAATCTGCAGGTTAGCATGCCCTAGTGAAATTTGGGGGTTCTTATGGTCCTTAGCTTGGGGGTCTATACATATTACTACGGTCCTGTATTGAAACTCCCATGTGTGTGTGTGTGATGGTTGGGCCGAGTGTGGACACCCATATTATGGTATATTGCAACAGTCGTCAGCGTGCTTCTTAGTTGATAGTTAATTTGGCTTGTTTCTGTAGTTTTACTCTAAACCCTAAACCTTAAACGGATTCTTACCATAGCGATCACCGAGTTGAACTTAAAGCTCTGGGTGCAAAGTTCGGTTTTGGATCGACTCGAGCGAGTCATTTCAAAATGGAGGCTGAGTACTTAGAACTCGTATCCCTGTTGAAATCACTAAGACCCCTAAGTCAGTTTGCTTGAGATGGTGTGCTCTTTGCATGGCGATTATGTTGCATGTTCTGTCGAGTTGGTCTAGACATGTGCGCAGAGACAGCATGTGCGTGTGTGTGTGTATGGACTGCGGCGGCTCGCAGGAACGATCAGCTGATGACGCCAACATCGCACGTCTAGCATTTGCCATTGTTCAGGGTTCCTTTGAGCATCGCAGACTCAAGAGACGCATAGAACGCTCACACGCTGGCTTGCTAGCTGCATTCCTTCCCCTCGAAAGGGACCTTAACTCTTTAAATCCTTCCAAGACGAAGCATGGGGAAACAGGCTGGGCTTGCTCGGGAGCTAACGATATGGGTACGGGTTCGGTAAGCCTGCGACGCAGATCGGTTGGGGTTGGGGTTTGGAGTCTAGGGTTTACGGTCTTGGGGATGTGGGTTTTGGCACAGGTCACGCGGTATCGGCGTTGCATATCATGCAGCAACGTTTGTTTTAAGACCGAAGTCCGAACAGCGCATGAAGGACCCTAAGCCCTAAACTCTAAACCCTAGTGGAACAGTGGTTTCCTTAAACTTAAATGAGCAATCTGCCACATGCGTGCCTCGACGACCTGCAGACGTCAAGCAAGCAATACTGTAGGAATCTGATCAAGAAACCCCGGGCCTATAACCCCGCAAAGAGTAGGATTCATATAAGGAACCTTGAGTAAAGGCCCAAGAATTCTTATTCAGGTTCCTCCATTATTATTATAGTACCCTTATAGATCCCTTAGAGTAACCCTTTTTGTATCCCTTTAAAGGAACCCACACTGAACCCTAACAAAGGCCTAAGGTTTCTTAATCAGGTTCCTACATTGTCCAAGCATGCAGGTGTCCTTGAGGATGCCACCCGACAGATTTATGTGGTTTAGGGTTTAGGGTTTAGGGTACCGAAAAGACCCCTGATTTAGTATCCTAGACCCTCTGTTCCTTGAGCCAGTAAACCCGAAACCTGACACCCCATAGCCCCCAGACCCAAAACCCTGAAAACCATCACCTTCGAGCCCTTCTAAGCGTAAGCCCTAGAAGCAACTGTTCGAAGCCTGTGCAATTCCTTTTAAGCCGATACCTTGTAAGACCCAATGGTAAACAAATCGGCAGCTTGACCTTCTCCTACAAGGCACTGCAAGCCCGATACCCTGTAATGCTACCTCTCGTTGATGTCCAGAAGAGTCTCAAGATCTCATTTGTCCCATGGAGGGAGCTACTATAGGGACCTATTTTGGGGGCTCCTTGTTATAATAACGGTATAAGATATCCCCAAACCCGCTTCTAATTATTCAGGCCCCTATATCATAGCACCCCTATAGTAGCCATTATAGATCCCTTTTGAAGGGACCCTTTAAAGGAACCCTATTCTGATGCTTAAGGCCCCCCATATTAGCTAGGTTTCGAACGACCAAGGAAGGTCAATGTGTCAGAGCTGGACACGGCCGCGATCCCAGTTTGCTCGTTCATCTCAGAGACCCTTGTTTGCCTCCCTCATTGTTATGTGTGTATATATATATATTTATATTTATATCTCTACATGGGTGGTTGTCAAAATTATGGCCCTTTTTAGGTACCTGAAATATTAGGTGCCGTATTATAAGAAGGATCCCATAAGGGGCCATAGTTTTGACAACCACGCACATATGTGTATATGTTTTTGTATATGTTTGTGTATATGTAGTATATGTATATGCATATGCATATGTATATGTATATGTATATGTATATGTATATGTATATGTATATGTATGTATATATATATATGTATATGTCTATGTCTATGTCTATGTCTATGTATATGTATATGTACATGTACATGTACATGTATATGTATATGTACATGTACATGTATATGTACATGTACATGTACATGTATATGTATATGTATATGTATATGTATATGTATATGTGTATGTATATGTATATGTAATGTCTTTGTCTATGTCTATGTCTATGTCTATGTATATGTATATGTATATGTATATGTATATGTATATGTATATGTATATGTATTTATATATATATATATATACACATGTGCGCGGGAACTCATATTGATCAAGGATACCCCTGAAATTCAAGGTAGCAGCGCATAAGGTTCACAAAAATCTTGGGGTTCGCAATCTACTTGTGTGAAGCAGACTCCTTGATCTACATGGCGGCCTTCCGTATGTCGGTAGCCTTGTAGGTCGGAAGATAGGTTCGCCTGTGTTATACAAAGATGTGTGTGTGTGTGTGTGCGTCTGTACATTCGCAATATAACCCAAATCCCTGAACCCTAAACCACTAAACCAGTTGGAAAAGAGCCCTCAAAAACAAACAAAAAACACTAAACCCAAACCCTGAACCCTATATGATGCA